ATTAATTGGTCTAGTTTATGAACCAGGTTGTCAGTTTCGTTATAATAATCCACAATAGGCAGGGAGAGAAAGAGAGAAACAGGGTGAGAGGGAGACACGTAGCATCAGTAAGACTGAATAACTACGGAATTGAGTCATTCAGTCAAGCTTTTACTGTCAATTCACTGGCATGTGGCATATTTTCACATCTGTTGTAAATATGATTTCAGTATGCAAAAATTATCAACATATCCTAAAATGTCCCTCCAAATCCCATCAAATTATCAAATGAGGTAAAGCTTCAATTATTGGCGTTTGCCTTTGTTTTACTGGTTGGACACTTTAGGAAGTTTCCACAAAGAAATGATGCAGTTTGGCAATATTCACAAGGAAAGGTTGAACCAAAGTCATTCAGTCACCATTGTGGTAAAGTTTCATTTTATGGCTTCCTGATTTCTTAATAATGTTTTCGGCGATTTTATCCTGGAGGAACCACGGCATCCGGAACTAATAACAGGTAGGGGAATGGGATTTAACCATATTTATTTATTTGTAATCTATATGTTAGTATTGCTGTCAAAAGATATTAATTATTCAACGAAAGCTTTATTTATCTCAAAGAGTTTTCTAAAAGTTTTAATTTCCTGGACAACAACTAACTTTGCATGTGTTAAAAATGGCAAGTATTAATTTGGTGTTTTTCCTCACAATATGGTCCCAATATTAATTATTTTTGGATAAATGTGAATGTATTTTACCTGTATGCCAACTTTTAATCATTGGAAACAAGGTTTGACTGTGCCAGGAGAGACAGTATGTTCCTGCAGTAAGTTAGTTCGATAGTTGTAACCCTACATGTCTTCAAGTAAAAGAAAGAAGTGAAATGACTTTTCATGGATGTGAACATTGTGTGAGGGAAGGTTTTGGTCACTGAATCTGTGAAGGAATAGCCAGCTGCAGAGACGTCTGATTGTTAAGTTGGACATTTGGGTACATAGGTCTTAAATGAGCCACAGAGTTATGTGGGTTATAAGCACTCTCACACACAACACCATAAAACTGTCTGGATTTAACGGGATGATGAATGCCCCTCAGACTGCAGAATGAAATATGAGGTAATCCGACTCCCCGATCCCAGTCAAAACATGCCCAACATGAGGGCAACCCACATCCTGCTACAATGAATGAGGGAGGTTTTGGCGTTCGGTGTCTCATTTTGGGCCACAGGATAAAGATTACATTTCTTTGCCATAAAAAAGAAAAGTGTATGATATTACTTTGGGCTGAAAACGGTGTGTGGATCATTTGCATCTCTTCAAGGGCCAGTGAGACGGTGGCTTGAGAGCACCGGTACCTATACAGGAAACGGTGACTTAACCAAGGGACTTAACAACACTAAAATGATTAAAAAGCACCCTAAACAGGATATTAAACAGCTAATAAACATTTAGCGGCATATATGTTCCTCCTGCATGCATCGGGAGGAAAGTGATTGTTTGAATTTCCACGCTCTGCTGAACGCATACCTCTCACCACAACTGCTGCAAGTGAGTCATACGAAGGCGAGATAATAACGTTGTGACATTAGACTAGCAATTTGGGGTGGCATGAGGGACTCCTGGTACATATAAGCCACGTGTGACTAAAGCCTGTAAATCATGTGTGAAATAGAGTCAAAGGATTAATTCTTTCATTTATGCAGAGCTTTGATTAATATCTCCACTCCTTAATTGTAAAAGCCTAAATGAAAAGATCGATTTAACCCCGAGTTAATATGGCTGGTTGACATTTGCCGGTTAATGTGTTTTTATAAAATTCCAATGACTAAATAATGATGTGGGAAGCCTCTGAGATTTCTAGCTTTTATTTGCCAACTTGAGCCCACACATGCTGCAATTTCACCCAATCCTCCGCATGCTGACTATTCAGCTGATCAGCAATAGAGAGAGAAGAAAAAGAATAATCCATACATACACAAAAAAATCTATGCATTAAATATTAAACGGCAAACATATTGAGGAACAAATGATAATCAACACATGTATTATTTATTTATTATTCGTGTAATAAGTTAGGTTGTAAATAAAAAATAGAAATGTCGAGATATAGGAATAAATAAATGTAAATATAAGAATAGACGTCTGATCAATTATGAATATGTATACATTCATGCGTTCAATGCATTCAATGTAAGCATTTATTATTAACATAGCATTTTCTTTGGTCATGTAATTGTGATATTTATTTGGTTAATGTGGCACAGACTTCATAGTTATTTTTGAATTTCAATTAAACTCTTTTTTTCTGTTTAAAAAAAATAGCAAAAAAACAAAAGTAACTAATATTAGTTTTTTTTTAAAGTGAATCTTGAATGTGATAAACGGTTAAAAAGCATTAAGTAAAGTAAAAATACTAATGATCTCTGGTCGTGTATCTCACGCGCCGACATGTGCCAAATCGCCGCCGAGTGCTGCAGCTTCTGCAGGCTGCCAATAGCGGTCATTCAACGGTGCAGACTCCTTGAGACCTCTTTACAACGTGAGCGTGGTAATGTAGCGAGAACAAAAGGAGCACGCTGGCGGCTGCCAGGAACAGCTCTGCCACGTTCTTCGCTGCTTGGCTGTCGGTTCTTGTTCACAGGGAGGCAGCTCGGGGCTTTGGGTCTCGAGGGTACATTAAGGATTTCAAATAGCAGCAGTAAAGAAGCAACTATCTGTCAAGGACATGCATTTGGGAAGGCATTCCGCTTGTAGAGCCTCAGTTCTTAGTGAAGTGAATATAAATCTCAGTAAAAGGAACCAGCTCGTGTCTGGTTAGACTCCTGCATGAAAGGCCTCGCCGAGCGCTGGATCGCTTCAGAATGAGAAGATGGAATACAGAGGCCAGTACACACGCTTGCCCTTCACTTCAGTGAATGTTCCTGGTAATGCTGGTGTGTGTCCCGCTTTGTACAGGGGAAACACATGTGTTTTGCTTCTTGTTACTCAACTTGAATGTTTGAGTTTTTATACAAAACGGCTGTCTTTCAGATTTATCTGTTGAAGGACAAAAATATTCTTGATTCACAGCGGGTTTAGAAATGAAACCTTGCATATTAACAGATTGGGAGGCGGAGCACATGTCATCGAACCAAACCAGACACAAAGGAATGTACTAAGAGGGTATTTGGAAATGTTCAGAAGTACTTTCAGCATGAAGTACTTCAAAACATCACAGTAGAAGTGGTGGTATAGAAATCCTCCTGTCGTGTTATGTCATTGTTTATGATATCTTGGGCTAATTATTCCAATACATCAGTATTCAAGCATTTTTTATACGTAGCTGATCCACAGAGAGTTAATACTTTTTTACCTTTGGCATTGTGTCTTATTACACTAATGTTGATGATTTATGTGTAAAATCTGGGAGTAACTTAAATAAAGTAGTCAAAAGTACTTCGGTATAAGTACATGAAAATTGTCCTGAAGTATGGTTCTGAAAGAGATATTTATGTTCCACCGTTGAGAGATAAATTGTGTCAAGGCGTGATTTGATGTTCGGATAGTGAGTCTGCACAAGGGGAGATCTCTAAAACGGAGAAGCAAAAATCCCCCTTTTGTTTAATCTTTCGGAGTGAGGTAGTCGATTTAATTTCTCTCTACCTTTGGTGGTAAGCGCTCGACGCTTTGAGTCAAGATGTGGGTGATTGTGATTAAACACAAACGCTTCGGGCAAAGATCAGAACAAAAAATGCTTCTTCTTGTTTTCCTTCCACTTTGCACTGTGAGAGTTAAGTTAATTCATGTATAGAGTCTAAAATGTACACTATATGAACACACATATATATATAGTGGCTCTTAAAAATAATCCTTTTAAAAGGACATTTCCTGAGCTGAATGGCTAGCTGTGGCTCTAGGAAAGATGTATAGTGTTTCTATTAGAGACACTTGAGCCAGCGCGGCCTGAGCTGCAGTTAAACTATTGTCGTGGGCTGTTAATCAGCATGTGTTGTAAATGAATGGCCCAAATGGCCCTCATTAGTGGTCTCTCCCGCACCGGCCACCACCGAGGAGAGGGGCTTAAAAGGCCCGGCCCCATGCCATGGGACCAACAAGCCCAGTTCAGGAGCAATAGTTGCATTTTTACATGTATACAGATGCACTAATTACCCGCTGAAAGCTGGGATCAGGCCTTGTGATGCGTGGGATGGCAGGCTGTGAAAAATACATTCCTCACAGGCAGAGCATTTACATCTCAGAGCGGAACACCAACTCCTGACAGGCTGTGAATTGCAGTCTTGACTTTGCCAAAGTTGTTACACTGTTGCTCTAATTCCCTGAGAGGCATGAAGCGAGGGCCGTCGCTCTGCTGCTCGCTGTCAAACTAATTACACTACACCGTGTTTTTAGAGGGTTTTAGTGGCTGGCTGCCTCTCAAACAACAAACCTCGCTGGATGGATTCAATATGTGTGCCAAAATATCGAAGTAATAGCAATATTTTGCATGGCGGTCAGATTTTTCTTCAAAACAGGAAGCCTAATTGTTTCTAGGCTCAGAGCCTTTACCAAAGATGGGAATGTGCTAAATTTTGAAAGTACATCTAGTTGCAAAACCGCAGCTGTTTGAGTCGGTGATGGACGAGGCCAGAAACATCTGGCTCTCTCGGGTATCGGCCTAATGCTGCGACCCGAAATGAGTTCACTGTCGTCCTCGGACTTTTATTTATTTAAAGGAAAAGAAGGTAACAACAGTACTGACTGTGCAGGCTAAGGGCCTTCTGTCAGAAATATGTTCTTACACATTATTAGATTTTTATTTTATTTTGTTCTTTTACATTTACATTACATAGCTTTCATTAACATAGTGGAGCTAAACGTATAATACTATTTGAATGTAGTGGAGTCAAAGTGTAGATCGCACAATAAAATAATACACCTCAGAATTGCCCTCGTACTTGAGTAAATGTATTGAGATAAATTCCAACATTGGTTATACTGTATCTTGTGCTCCAATCGTTAAAAAAGTTCTTGTCCTGAACTCGTTTGTTTTGAGGGCTCGCGTACAACCGGAACTGTCGTTTTGACACAAAGGTTCCACCCGGAGAGGTTATCTTGTCGTACATGCTAATAGCTTCTAACGGAATATAAACAGAAATCTTGTTCGACATGGCAGAGGTAAACTATCGTTGATAAACTTTACTTTTTCGTACGTCAGAGAAGTGTGAGCATCTCTCTCCCGATGTCTAATTTAATTCCGCTTTTCTGAGTGTGCGTTTGATGTAAAAACGTCAAAAGGTTGTCCGGTGACAACCTGGTAGCTCCCCAGTCCGTGTGTAAACTTGACGGGTTAATGTTAGCATAATGCTAATCGTGGCCACCAGCCTAAATAATTAGTGGTATCTTTATTAAACGCGACCCTGTAGAGAAACTGCGTAACCGCAACGTCACTTCTATCCGCCAACTCGGCTGGTTTTGACACGCATTTTCGCCGAGTTAATTGGCAGCGTGCTAATGACACATCTGGATTCACATCTGGCCCAGACGTTAACCCACTGGGATCCAGGTGATGGGCGAGGCTTCGGCTGATGTCGAACCAGAGACACGTTGTACGGGATGACGGACGTCCTTTGCTGTCCTCGTCTTCCTAAACACCAGAATGAGCTCGGGCCGGTTTGAAAAGGTGGCGCAAAGCAGCGTTTGACGTGAAATGAAGCTCAGCAGCTCTGCACCTCCATCACCTGCTGGTCCCCCGCAGAGAAGATGAGTTGCCCAATCGATTGGCCGGATTGATGCCAGAAAATGAAAAGACACTCATTTAATCATTGAGTCGTTTACAAAATATATGTATTTATGAAAACATCACCGGGTTGATGATGTGAACCGTTTAATGGCAGTAAGTATGTGTAATACCAGGACTGTGTCACACATCTGTGTACGACAGAGATATGTTATTCCTTTCAAATGTCAAAACAGTGTAGAGATAAATGCACATCTTTGTAACACGCTAATAAGTGTTTTGTTTTTCTAGTAAAACATTTTATTTTTGATATTTTTAAATATGTCTTACCTCAGCATTTATGTAGCCACACAACTGAATCAATGGTTTGTCAATTGTCAAAAAGTTGAAATATGAAACATATTTTAACATACAAGAGCTTTTTAAGATATACAGAATATTGTTTCACTCTCTACAAATACAGCAGAAGATGTAAAAATACAACTATAATAGGGCCTATTAACACTTTACACACTTGATTCCAAGTTGTCTTTGTACCTTTTTCATTGGCAGTCTTTCGTCTTTACGTACGTAAAGGTGTTTTTACTTTTACGAACATAAATTCACCCTCAATGAAACCTGCTCACTGTTTTCCCGATGAGTAAAGGGCCGGTGTATCAATGTGCAATTGCGTGTTCATTGTTGTCTCCTGTCTTTCCAGACTCACAGCCTGCAGGACATGAGGCAGCAGGCGTCCGTCGCTGCCAAAGTCTTCATTCAGAGAGATTACACCAACGGCACCGTGTGCCACTTCCAAACCAAGTTCCCCTCGGAGCTGGAGTCCCGGGTAGGACACGGACGCTCAGCGTTCAATCACAGCGACTCACTGACTTTGTTGAAATGGTAACTTAATCTGTCCATCACATCTATAGGACACTCACTTGTCTTGTGGATGAGCGGTTTTAGGGCGACCCTGGGTAGGACCAAGTGTCCCGAAAATGCCATTTTAAATACCAAGATCAATTGATAAAAACATATATGTTAAAGCTAACAAGCTAGTATTTCCGCTTATTTACTGCAATACAGGCTCTGCGTGTAGTGCCTGTATTTGTGTATATCTCTTTATAGTTCCATAGCCTCTAATAGTGCATTATTAGATTCCTTATGATTAGGATTCTATTGTGCATGAAAACAAGAAGGGGCTTTTAAAGGATGTTTTTCTTTCCCCTGAGAAAGAGTACAGAGGTAAATGCTGTTACTGGGGCTGCACACTGACACTGTGTATTGTTCAGTGTGATTTGATTCTAGCTCGTGATTATGAAGTAGAAGCTCGCACCTGGAATTTGGAAACCTGAAATTTTAAGAGATAAAACGATAATCTGGTCTCGCATCACATTAGTCGCCCGCGTCCAGGCGCCGTCTCTGTGATCTTCCCCTCTTATAGAGCTGAAGCAGCACCCAGTGGCTCTTATTTTCCCTCTTTTACTTCATTTCTTGCTGTGATGGCAAACATGTAGGAACATGTAGGAGCGCCCATTTCAATCGCTATATAAACTACAGCTACCAAATAGAATAACAACGTAACAAACACGCACACACACCTCAAACAACACTCTGCCTCACACACACACACACATACATCATCCTGCTTACGAGGAAAATACGGGTTCATACATTAAATAACCAGTTTCAGCAAAGAACATTCTGCACTCTAATTCACATGCTTTTGATATTTGTGTGTTACTCCTCATCCTGATATCCACTGCACACAACATGGCAGGCAGCTGTAGAACTCACACTGCTCTTCACACTCCTTTGTCTTGGACCTGCGGGAGGAAACCCACGTAGCAGCAGAGCATGGCTTTCTGGAGTAACTCCACCTGCTTTCAGTTCTCACGGGAAAAGGTACAGAGTTGCATTCTTCATCATGCATTTTAATATGTTAAAGAGAACTAAACACCTGCATATCAGCCAATGGGGCACCCTGCAGGTATGGTGGCGTGACAGCAGGTCCTTTAACATCCACACCGACTAAAAAGACCATCATCACTAAGAAAAGTATTACCCGCATATACGAGGTAGCAAAACGCTGCTGAAATGGTGCACTTGTCAGAGCAACCTGTCATAATGTTTCTAGGTGGGCTTCTAAATGCGCGGGGCAGAAGGCGGGTCACGGTAGCACATCGTTTACACCCCCGAGCCACACCGCCTGCTGGTGCCGTGGACTCTCCTGAGCCGGCTCCAATGTCGCCGGCCCGTCTTCAAACACAAAAGCCCGGCCTGGCCTGGTTTTGATGTGCTTTGTGGGTCGTCAGTCCATTAAAGAGCAATTACCGGCAGCGATGTGTGGCACGTGGATCAGGGCGCTGCGGCTCCACAGCTTCTCCTGCCACGTTAGAGAAGGTGACAGCCAAGAAAATGTTTCGGAGTTCCAAGGACAAGAGGCTTCGGTTTTTAAATGCGTGCGCCACATGTGAAGAGCTGCGTCGAAACACTTGGTCACTGGTGGTTTATTGGCACTTCCCTTATAGGATTCAGTGCACAGACACAAAGAACGCTCCCCTTTTTGGAGGGCAACCGCTCAAGGCTCTCCTATAAAAAATGTCTTCCCATGTATATTTTGTTAATGTTTCTTACTGTAATACTACTTACAGAAATATGCAGTATTGTGCCAAGCTTTTCCGTGGCTTCCATTTTTCATTTATATCTCTTTGTAAGATGTTTGCAGAACCTAATGTTGAAATATCAGTGCAATTCCTCTCAGCCAACATATTTCACCCCTGTGTTCGGTTTCATCGTGCAGTTTGGCTCTCGGACTACTCGCCGTAACATCATCATCATTCTTGCACATAATTATGGAAGGCTGTGGACTATCATTTTTGTTTCTCTGGGAGAATTGCACTCAAGAGCTTGGAAAGCACGCGGTGTTGTTACTGGATTTGACAGCAGGATTGCCAAACCATTCAAGAGAGTTTCATTAATTTGGGAGCAACAGTGTTCACTGAACTTCCTTCAAATATGTAATATCTATCTTTGTTTATATTCAGTATTTGGGGGCGTGGCTTTGGATTGATTTGCCGACTCTCTTCCTTTGACAAGAGTTGGGCTTTGCCAGGTTTTCCTGTTGAATCTGTTTAATCTAAATTAATTTAAGCTAAATTAATCTAATTTCGCTAAATCTTATCTAATGTTACCTCTGCAGGCATTAGGATTGAACCCTCATCCTCGCTTGAATTTCAAGCCCTGGTCAGCCTCGCGCTCCCATCTAACAATTCGGAATGCTAGACAAATGGACAGATGTTCAGACACTGAAATGTGGTTTTAATCAAAGCCTTGAAATCGCAACGTTAGAAGTAGAACAAAGGGGGGGGGGGGTACCAAACAACGGCGTAGACCACTGATGTGTTGGAGCTTGTTGCCTTCCTTCGGAGGGTCAGGAGGCCCTTACAGGCGCCTTTTTGGTTCCACCTCAGGATCTTCATCAGATCCGTTCTGGACACCAGCATGCGAAATGGTGTCGACATCCCAGTCAAAACAGCCTCTGAGTCCAGCAGTTGTTCACCCTTCCAGCCGGCCGTCAGTCAAGGCGATTTGAAAACACTGATGTCTCGCCTACAGTTCCGAACATCAGATATGTGCATGTAGATATGTAAACCAGGTGTGTGTGGAAACCATCAACAGTCCGTCCTGGATCGTCACTGTTTGGGTCCCATTTGTAGCACTTTTTACCCTTTTTTCTCAATCAGTTATTAAGTGAAAACATTCACCGAACATTTTTCCAAAGCATCCGAATCATTTCAGGGGATGTTTCCAGCACAGGAAGGCGGCCCATCAATCCCGTGAAGTATGACCAGCCCAAGAAAATACACCTCATTCATCCAGAGATGGAACGAATGGAGGAAATCAATCTGGTGCTGGCCGAGACGGAAAGCTCCCATAACCCGCTTCGTCCAATTCTACGTTTTGATGTGCGCCTTGCCTAAATGTTTGAACCCGTTCTTTCTTCTTTGTTTTATGTGTTTCAGATCAACAAGCAGCAATTCGAGGAGACGGTGCGCACCCTGAATAACCTGTACGCCGAAGCGGAGAAGCTGGGAAGCCAGTCGTACATTGAGGGCTGTCTGGCCTGCCTCACGGCGTACATCATCTTCCTGTGTATGGAGACCCACTATGAGAAGGTGAGAGACAAAGAAGTGGATGATGTCACGATGCTCTGATTCTGCTCTGAGATCCTTCTGGAATATTTAGAGCTCGTAAACATGGTCACTTAACGCCATCCATGAGGAATGACGTGAAACTGTTTTTCGCTGTGCCCTGTTCAGGTGCTGAAGAAGATCGCAAAGTACATACAGGAGCAGAACGAGAAGATCTACGCTCCACAAGGCCTCCTGCTCACCGATCCCATCGAGAGAGGCCTGCGAGTCGTATCCTTCCAAAAAGTGTCCAGAGCGGAAATCGGCATTGAGTAAAAAGCGCCTGATGTCAGTAGTTCTTTTTTTCTCAGTAGGGTGACTCTTAACTCAAACAAATTGCGGAAGGATTAGGCAGAAATAATCTCCCTAAATCCTGAGAAGCCAAAAAAAATGAAGCGATTTTTATACGTTTTTCGAACTCTATCTAACCGTGCTAAATAAAACTGAGCGAACACGTATGTTGAACCTTTTAAATCCAGTTTCACAGTCACACACAGATATATTTTTTTCAAGACTGAATAAATCCAGTCAGATTGTCCTAACAAACTTAAAAACAATGTGTTCTACAATAAACGATCAAAAGAAAAGGTTTGTGTCTTGAAGCGTGTTCGGCCAAGAGGAAGGATGAGTCAAACATTTGGGTTATGCTAAACATTTGAATCATACCCTGAGATCAAGAAACGTGTGTGGAGTCCCTCCCCAGCTGTCAATCCAACGAGGAGCTTCCACAATCACCTGATGCAGTGGTTCCCAAACCTTTTCTGTCCAGAGCCCCTTTGAGCAACTACACCCGTTTAAGTCCATTTACTTTGAATATCAAAATTGAAGTTCGTAACTGTGCAAGAACTTGTAGGTATGTTAAGTTTTTCAAACCCCTTTTTCTATGTTGCACGTCTCTTTCCCTGTCTTTCTAATGCTGCGCGCCTCTTTCTCCCTCTGTCCCTCTGTCCCTGTCCCTCTTGTCCCTGTCTCTGCCTCTACCTGGGCCGCTCTGGGCGGCGTGGTTCGAACACAACGTGGCTTTGCTTTTGTTCAAAAAGCCGCGCAGAAGCCGCGCCCCCCGTTTCCCCCAGTTTGGGAACCACTGACCTAATGAATGAAATGTTTACAGGTCTTCGGGCCCCATCCCGTCTTGCCCTCTAACTACTGGTTGAAAATGGAAAGCAGCAGCAGTCCAGTCAGCTTTACGCTACGTAGGGATAGCCTGTAAAAACCTCAGATAAACGCGAGTAGGTAGTCCACAGCATCTGTTTAAAATCAGCGGGTCCACCAACATCCTGGCAGCAGCGGCGCGTGTGCGCGCGGTGACTCAGCGTCCCGATTCATTGGAACTGGGTGCCAATGGGGGGATTATGGATACCAGAATATGACTGTAGTTGTTCCCAGTCCGGGATTCTGCAGCGCTGGCACTGATCTGGATTATTTCTCCAACGCGGACAGGCAGCCGGGCCGACTCCGCCCCCCCGAGCGCTGGGTGATTGGCGGGCATGTCTCACATGAGCCGATGTGGCTGCTCAGTACGGTTACGTTCGCTGCGAGGCTGAAGCTTTTTCTCCTTAGGGGAAGAGTGCAGCCTTTGAAGCAACTGTGACTGACTTCCATAACAAACAAATCAGCAAATCGTTTTATTTGTGTTTAAAGAGGAATCAACTTCAGAGCAACAATCCTTAATGTACCTAATGTAGTGGGTCATAAAGGTTGTGGATTGCATTTACCGTATTTTCCGCACTATAAGGCGCACCGGCTTATAAAGCGCACCGGATTATAAGGCGCATAAGATACTGCAGTCAAACGTTTGACGTATTTTAACCAATTTTCCCCGTTAAGATGGTTCAGCTACTGTAGAGAAAAGGGCGCCGTCTCTCGCTCTTTAATCTCATGAAGTGCTCGGCGAGAACGACAGCTTTGTTTCTCCGACGCGCTCTGAAAGCAGCTCCATATCTCACGCGCTTGAGCGCTGCTCAGCATCTCGCCGTCGTAGACCGAGCTTTGTCATGTTTGGCAGAGCGCCTTGAGCGCCGTGTACAACCAGTATGGATCTACCAGTTAACCAATTGATCCATATATATAAGGCGCTCCGGATTATAAGGCACTGTCGTTTTTTGAGAAAATTAAAGGCTTTTAAGTGCGCCTTATAGTGCTCAAAATGCGGTATATCAGATTTGGGGTGTAACGACTCCTCTGCCGTAGGCTGGCTGGCGGAGTCAAAGGAAACATCACTGACCTAAACAGCAGTTTATTATTCCCAAACACGAGCTGCCCGATCGGACTGAGATTTCTCCATGTTTACATCGTTTTGGCATAATTATCAGCCAGGTGCTTCTGAGTTAGGGAGCAACAGGCACACGCAGGCCTGAAGGCAAGACGCTGTTTCCCCAAACGCATCCGAGGTCTGTGTCACGCTCCGTGTATAAATATGTAAAAACACAATCAATAGTTGCATTACCGTTGTGATTTAATTTGGCTTTAATTTAATGTAAAATGGATCCAGCCTTGCTTTATTGTGTTCTTGACTGAATCCTTTCAAGATTGAGGTTACCATCTTTGAAGAGAGAAGCCTGACCAGATAAAAGCTGCCACGGTGAGTTTAATTCTTATTCTCTGTGAAACAAGAACTCTCTCTTTCTTTGTAGCACAGATGTAATGCTGGCATATAAACTATGGACGAAACAAACACTTTCATTCAAGTCCATTTTTCCAATTATTAAACAAATTTGAAAAAGTAGTGCAAAGAAAAAGTGCTCGCGTCAAAGGGCAGTAAAGGAAGGGCTCACTGTGTGTACATTGCTTCCATGCAGAATGCCACATCAGTGTCTAAAGCCTTTTCATCTGTGAGTAATAACAGTCAACTGCTGCACAGTCTGGAGAGCTGTTTGATAAAGCAGGATTTCTGCTGACTTCATGACTTGACGTTGTGAAGAACACTGTGTCATTTGCTCCACCGAAGGCCATAAAACATGCACATGGAATATATGAAGAAATGAGAAAATCCCAGGCATTTCGTTCTTGTCTCCATGGACGGTTGTCCTCCACAGTAGCAGCACGGATCCTGCTCGCTCGCTCAGCACCTCCACAGTCAGAAACCCGACCTGAGCTTCCAGAGCATCCGTACCGGAGACCGCCTGAAGAAATCCCCCCTCTAAATGAGGCCTAGAGGGGTTTTGACTTTAAAGAGTCAGGACCAATCTGTGGCTCAGAGGTAGGAGGAGTGGGCAACATCCCCTACAGAAGGTCTGCGCTTCAATCCCCTGCTTGACGTGTCCTCTGGCCAGATTGTGAATGTGGATTACTTTAGATGAGCGTCCATGGCCTTCTCCTCTCGACATGAAGCGCACCAGAAAGGAGCTGTGCAAAGTCCTTTTACCATTTAGTACAATCCAAATGAATTGATTTGAGCTGACCGCCTGAGCGAGGCAGCAAATGTCTTTTTAAGAGGCTGTGATCCAAAATGTTCACATTGTTGACTCCGCAGGCCGCCACACTTCTACCACATTCTAGTCATGTGGGAGAGTGTCAGCACCTTCTTGCTCATTGGTGAGATGCTTTTGCTTTTGTGTCTCCATCAACCAAACACAAAATGAGGCACAAATTGCTCTCTTTTTGTGTGATTATTGTTCACATGTTTTATATGGTTTATGCGAGTGAAACCCAAGACCAGCAAATCCACTAAAGAACACTAAGAACAGCTCGCCATTGGCTGCGATTCTGACCATTGTGTGGATGGTTTTCATCCATTCAAAGTCGCTCTCTGGTGAGACCTGCTGACGTCTACGTGGAACACGTTTGTTCTTTTGGGATATTCTTTGAACAAAGGTGTAAAATGCAATATCAGTCAAATTGTGGTTGCTTACTCAATAGTGCCCTATATACTAAGTTCCACATTTTGTAGAATTATAGTGAGATTTGATTAAACCCCCATAGCTGACTCAAAGTGTCCCACAATGCATCGTAAAAAAATCGGTGTGTTTATTCAAATCGCGGGTTCATGTAAAAGAGAAAAGGGGAGAGACGGCAGCGCGATCAAGACAAATCCAACCAATCCGATTTGTGACACGAAAATATAAACTAAATAAATTCACTTCACAACGGGCACTTGTAGTGCTTTGTAGGTATTCATTTGGGGAGAAAGAGGCAACGCAACAACTTACAGGATCACAAAATGCATGTCCTTATTTATTATGGATGGTACACCAACCAACATTAATTTGGCACATTTTAATAGTCTGTATCAGCTGCGGTGTAATTAACGGCACACAGTTATTTCTGCTTTCAAAATGAAATATGTCCCCAAAGCAAAGGCTTTTCATACTGCATCTCAATTTTGATCTTTTAGGCAGGACGGTGGTGAAGAAAGCACGTTACAGTCAGAGAGAGAACACAGCGCTGCATCATTATGGCTCCAAGTGACGCTTGAACGAAGAACCATGCAAGTCTTTCAAAAACTGGTTACCTCGTTTAGAGGTATTCACCTAAAATGTAAGTTAGAGAATATTTCTAGAAACAAAGCTCAAGAAGATTATAATGTGATTAAATAGAGGGATAGACATCTGCATTTAATCAAATGAATTCAGTACCATTCAAAGAACTGAACATGTATGCCTACAAATATTAAAAAATGCTCTCAATAACTAAATAAAAGTAGGGCTTTCAAAATAAGAGAAAATACATTAAATTCCCCCATTTCTGTTTTACGTTTGGACTCTCGGACAATTTTAAATAATAAATCACACATTTTAACACAATTGAACAGTTTAATAGAATATATATATACATCCAATCCCCCACTTTTTTCATCCTGCCTGGAATGTAGAGGCTCGATTGGTCGAGTAGCATCACGTGGGATAGTTTTTGGTCTCCGCTTTAAGCTACTAAAGTTGCGCCGGTCAAAAATGCCCCGTCAGCTTTTAAATCCCGACCTTCTGGTTTTTGCTTCTGGACCGCGTCCGCCGGTGAGCGACCGCTGGTCTACGCGCACATGCATTGCTGTTCCTGTGACTCATCTGGTGTACATGGGCGACAACGTTAGAACCTCACACACAGAAACACGGGACTATTCATCTGTTTGATCTGAGCGATCCTCAATGGCAACGCACAGAACCCTCACTCACCACGGATGGCTCCGACATACCTCATCTTGAGCACAGCTCATCTCCAGTAAATCTCCTCGATCTCTGTCGCAGTAAACGCTTTCTCTTCTGCGCTGAAAGAGATCCGGGGAGGTTGGTTTTCCTCGCGTCGTCCTCGGGTGTGCCAGGCCCGAATCATACTGAAAAGTACTTTGCGTAGCAGCGGGACGCGGCCGGGGCTGCAGCGCGGACCGGGCGGGCGTCCCGCAGAGTAAGGTGCACCCCATAGATATTCCACCTGTGGGGAATGTTGTGTTTGGCGGGGGATGGATAATCCCTTGCCATGCAGAAGCTCGTGGGGATTTATCTTCTCATTTGAAATTCCTGCTGAGCGCCTGGACACAAACATGTCCTATTGAGTAATGCAAACCCAGGCCCGTTATAAGTAGCTGTTGAGAGAGAAGTGGCGCTTTGCCACGGTCAAAGACAGGATAAACCCCCCCAGCCGGCGAGCAGACAGTACATCCATCCATATCAAGTCCCTTTATCCTGCCAGGCTCTCTTCTTCTCTCCTGCAGGCTTAGATACGTCAGCCTTTTTTTTATTAAAAATCATTTTGGTAACTCAAGAGTGACCTCACCGCCGGGTCAACACGGGGTGCCGATTTGGCTTTTTACTGCTCAGCAATCGGGAATGAGACAAGAACATATGAGGCCCGTGTCGGGAAAACATCAGACTGTTTCATCAGACGGTTTGTAGCAGATGAAAAGTACCGGCGTTAAAATGACTGCCCTCCGTGACCCCGTCTCAAGGCGCTGGACTGACGTCCCGGGGTTTTCCCTGATGTGCACCGATGTCCGTCAAAAATGTCTGCGTAGCGTTTTCTTTTCTATCTAAATTATTGATGTTGTTTCAGTTAAGTGAGCGTTGTGTTTGTGTTTCAAAAGAAAACAAACGGGTTGTCACCCATCAACGAACTTTTCCTTCCCCCTTATGGCTGAAGGCTTGGCTGGCTTGGATCAGGCAGCGTCCCGGGTGACGGGCTGAGCCGCGTGATGGATCGGCCTCCAGTGGGATGACTGCACTGTGGGAGAAGCAGACTTGGCTCCTGACTGCCGAGCATCGGGTCAGATGCAGGAGGCGCCGAGTCGGCGTCCTGGCACCTCATCAGAAGATGCTCTGCTCCCGACGAGGTGTTGTTTGGCTCCACGTGCGAACCCGCTGCCTCGCCACGGCACGTAGAGGAGCAAAAGACATCCCTCAATCGGGCAGCGCACACGAGGCCGCTTAGTGTCATGATGTCGGACGAGGCAAATAAATGAATGCTGTTCATTTGTTTTTGTCAGTTCAGTCGGTGAATATTTTCTGCCTTTAACAGTCGATACCCAACAGAAGCTTTTGAGACCAAAGAGGGACGTTCTCTGCGTCGGATGCTTGTTTCACGTGCAGCGTCTTGTGTGTGAGCTGCAGATTTGTTTGTACAGATGTGTGCTGTGGCGGGAAAAAAATCATTTTACCAGCTGTGGAGTCTTTATGAACTTCAACATGTTATATTTTATTCTCGCTAGAAAGGTCCCGTTGTACAGAGTTACAGAGTCTGCAGGAGTGTGCACCACAGATTAAAATTCGTAATCATGTGTGGGGGGCCTGTTTACGAAGCATCCTTAATGCACAGAACATGTTAACATACAATGAGAACGTGTCATCCAACACGAAGAACGTACCCTTGACAACGTTATCAGCGGCTGCACTGCAATGAAAAACCGATCTGTTGTGAGAAAGGCTCGAGGTGATGTTCAAACAGTTTAACGTAATTCACTAAATATCTGCTTCTGTTTCAGCTGATTGGATTGAGCAAAGCTACAAGAACCGCAGCAGCACAACTCCAGGGGTCCCCCGCCCTCCCGGACCTCCACCCTTAATACTGCGTCTCTACAATCCAGCCCTTTCACTAACTACCATGTGCATGTCTCATTCAGAGGAACATGGCTTTGTGGCCAAGTTGTTATTAAATTATTCTATTTTTATTCAGGACATCGCCGGCCATGTGCATTAAATGAGGAGTGTTATTTGGGTGGAGAAAAATGTATACACTCATTCTTCTATACATTTTGTCCTTTTTAATGTGGACTAAAAGCAACTTGAACTTTTTTATCTTTCTTTTTGGACACTCCTTTTTGAATATTAATTGATTGATTTCTTTAAACTCTGCCATGCGTAGTGTTCGGTGTTTGCTGTTAATGCGTGACTGGTGTTGAATAAGCATAGATGTATATATTGCGAGGCTGCCTTCAATCAAAGTCATCAAAGTGCTCTTTTTGTTGACAGTGGCAGTAATTTTGAATGTTGCCTTTGTAAGTCTAAAGGGTTGGTCTCCTCCAGAGGTTTTCCAGATTTTGATTCATTCCAATGGGATTTCCCGCTACTAGTAGATTTGCTTATGATTTGCACGGTTCAATTTAGTTGAAGTAGAAACTGTTCCACAAGTTGGCAAAGAGACTGGAGTCCACGGTACAGATCTGTGCTTTGAACTGTTTGAAACCGCTTGCTGATTTCTGCCAGCAGCAAGTCAACAGAAGTTACGTTAACTTAAGTTGGCAAGCTCGTTCCCAGTTCCTTGTTCAATAACGTATTATTAATTAGTGTGTGTTTGGCTGGTAAAGTTATGAAATCACCATATTTACAAGTATAGATTTCTGAATGGAAGAGCTGTACCAACAACAAATATCCTGATTTATAAATATGTAATTACCATTTTATTAATAATGTTTTAATTTAGCTCGTACCGGATATATCTGAACTTTGCTTAAGTTTTTCTGATTTTTTTTCAGTCTAAATCCAAGATGTTATTGATCTAAAAGTTGTACACCAACAAATAAAATGTGTACCTATTTTAAATCATGCTGTTTTGTGATTGCAGCTGATATACTGCCGGTGGCCACAAACAAAAGCACACCTCACCAAAATCTCATGGAGATCCACTTAGAAAGAGATTAAAAAATGGGGGTTAAAAGGGCCGTAGAATAGCAGAGGCAGTAGTGGCAGGGCAGGAGCAGAGGGAAAAACATTTTTTTTTTAATTGAACAGTAAAACATGAAAGATAATAGTTAAAACAATGGGAATGGGGGGACGGGGGGATCTGGACGTCTTGGCAGGATAAAGAATGCAAGAGGCGGTGTAACCATGGCAACCATTTGATGACATCACACAGTCATGAAAATGGTTTCTTTGGTTACATTCCTGCAAAATAAATGCTTTATTTTCTCCACTGTATCACACACAAAAAGGAGAACTATACGTCTGTATATACTATACTATACTATGCTATGAACACAATTTCCTCGTTATCTTTTTTTTTAAACCAATGCATCAATATTTTTGATCCGTTATTAAAAAGTTAGCACTCCTTCACGCTGATATTTTTCTAGGAGGGGTAGGATTTATTTTCCTGTACCCAATCGGGAGTCTGCATTTCTCAAAATAACAAATGAAAAGCATATATGTAAAACTGCTGTGATTGACACTGATGCTCAACGACCGGAAACACATTAGACCAGATTGAGAAACACGTAGATTATCAATCTTGTTACATCACAATTAAAAAACAATATATAACGGTACTCAAACTATCCTGGTTACAAAATCAAAAGAAACTTTTATTTATTATTATTATTTAAAGTTGACTATAGAATACATAGGGCCAAGCGTGCACCAAGATTACAGCAACAGCAACCCAAAAAGACTAACAAACTGACAAGGGACTTGGGCTGCACGATTATGGCCAAAATCATAATCACGGTTATTTTGATCAGGATTATTGATCAGGATTATTTATTCATTAAGGGACAACTTTTTATTGCACTTTCTGTCAGGGGATGCGGGTGGGAGGCAGGACTCAAACGCAGACTTGCGGGAAACAAAACGCCTTTAATAGTCAAAAGGCCAAAAAACACAGGAACCGGGAGGAAAAACAGCAGGCAAGAAACTAAGCACATCCACAACAAGAGACAAGCACTTGCGTGACAAAAGACAATGACGCGACCAGTGACACAAGAGACACACGGCTTAAATACACAAGGGAGGTGCAGGTGATTGGACACAGGTGTAAACTATTAAGACGATCACAGGGGATGACGGGACAAGGCAGGAAGTGAAGTTACCCGGGGACACGAGTGGCAGAAAACTACAAAATACAACAGGAAGTGAACCACACCGTGACACTTTCACGTTTAAACAAAAAAAGAACACTGCTTTATCTTGCAAGTTGCGCTACATTTCAGCTAATGTACAGGTCTTCACATCAAAACAAAACTTATATGGTTCTTATTATGTATATTTTGCTTCAGATAAAAAATATCTTTAACCAAAATAAAGGGCTAACTAAAAATACATATGCAACCAAATGAAAATAATTAGTCTTTTGACCATTTCTCTGAAGCCTTCATTGCTCACTGTATTTATTGGACCCTTGTCTTTGACCAAATGACATGCATTTGCATCCGTTATTTCAGCGTGTCTTTGGGTGGCGGATGGATACGCTGTTGCGCTATGCAGGGTCGCTGTCAGAGGTGTCAAGTAACGAAGTACAAATACTTTGTTACTGTACTTAAGTAGAAATTTTGGGTATCTATACTTTACTGAAGGATTTATTTTTCAGACGACTTTTTACTTCTACTCCTTACATTTTCACGCAAATATCTGTACTTTCTACTTCTTACATTTTAAAAACAGTCTTGTTACTTCCAGCTTGTCGCAGTTCAACAACACAAAGACAAAAAATAGATATAGATAATAGATAAATGGCGCTATCCGGACAGTGAATGTGATTGTGTTTGGATGAGAATATAAACATTTAGCATCCAGACACCCGGTTGGTTTTCTCCGCGATGCGCCGGCAGATCGGGGCGACACCGGGTGGGAAAAGTGGTGGAAAGTTGATATTTAGCGACATGGAGCCTCCTCCTCTTCCTCCTCCTCTTCCTCACGCAGATTCCACGTAACGTTAAATGAGCATCTTCATGGTGGGTTTGTCCTAAATGTTTTATAGAGTCTTATTGAGTTTTATTGAGTCTGGCACAACACAGCGACTTGCAAGCAGCGTATTAAATAAAGTGATGTGTGTCCTACTGCGGCTTGATTAATGAACACAAAGGGATTCTGTATTTGCTCATGAAGCCTGAAAATACTGGTTATTTGGCCGATGTTTTGATAACCGACCGCTGCCAGTTCAGTGTTTCCCATCAATATAAACAGGGGTGCGACCCCCACTCCGTAAAAAGTCAGCCCCCCCCATGACGTAGTAAACCGGCAGTCTACCTCATCAATGGGAACAACGTGTGTGTGACTCGTGTCACTGGAAAATGGGTTGTGGTTTTATCTGTTTAAGTCAGATACATCTGTTGTTGTTGTTGTTGTTTCCATCATCCCAACGGCAGGTCGATGAACTGCAGGCACCTTCGGGTCACATTGTAACAGACTGACGTGTTGTGTGACCAGTACTTTTATACTTACTTAGTAAAAAGCTTGAGTCGGTACTTCAACTTCTACAGGAGTCTTTTTAAACCCTCGTATCTGTACCTCTACTTCAGTAATGAATGTGAATACCTTTGACAGCTCTGGTCGCTGATTTAGTTTTCTGGGTTGATGTCATTAGTGTAATGGTAAAAATGTTATAACATTGTCTTGTGCTAAAGCCGTGCCTCATGTGTCTGTATTTGACCCTGATGAGTAGAAAGATTTAAGGTTTCCATATGCAGCTGTGTCTGAAGAAGTGAGTTAACTTGCTCTCATGGGCGCTCGAACAAAGAAACTGTGTGTGTTTCCCCCATCTTAACCTTGGTTCTTATCTCTACTTGGTTTGCAACTTCTTGTACCTGCCACTTTATACTATATTGTTGTTACCAAAATTGTCATAGGTAATTATTGCAGTTATAGTGTGGTTTAACCCATTAATACATGCCACTATTATTGCTGTTGAAATGAAACCTTGTTTTAAATTGCCCGTAGATGTGTGAATGTGAGTGTGAATGGTTGTGTGTCTCTGTGTTGGCCCTGCGATTGGCTGGCGACCAATCCAGGATGTACCCTGTCTATCGCCCGAAGTTGGCTGGGATGGACTCCAGCCCCCCCCGCGACCCTGTGTGCAGGATAAGCGGTTTGACGATGGATGGATGGATGGATGGATGGATGGAAATGCTAATGCAATGGGTTAGTAGAATACGGCTAAGGGTTAGTATAAAACAAGGGAATAAAGTTAAAAAATTTTAAATATTAAAAATTTAAGAAAAATATTAAGCATAAAGTGCACTAACGAACAAGTAACAGACAAGAGACAAAGTGACAAGTGACGACAAAGTGACAAGTGACGACAAAGTGACGAATTGCAGTTAAAGTGGCATGTGCAGTGTGAAGGGGAGTGACCGGTGGAATGTTATAGTCAGTCAGTGGGGGACCGGGCTCTGTTGATGAGCCCGACTGCCGACGGGAAGAAACTGTTCGTGTGGCGGGAGGTCTTAGTCCTGATGGACCTCCTGCCAGATGGAAGGGGCACAAACAGTTTTTGTTCGGGGTGAGAGGGGTCGGCCACGATCTTTTTAGCACGCTTCAGAGACCTGGAAGCGAACAAGTCCTGCAGGGACGGCAGATTGCAGCCGATCACCCTCTCTGCAGAGCGGATGACCCGCTGCAGCCTGCCCTTGTCCTTGGCTGTGGCTGCAGCGTACCAGACGGTGATGGAGGAGCAGAGGATGGACTCGATGATGGCCGTGTAGAAGTGGACCATCATCGTCTTTGGCAGGTTGAGTTTCTTCAGCTGCCTCAGGAAGAACAACCTCTGCTGAGCCTTCTTGGTGATGGAGCTGATGTTCAGCTCCCACTTGAGGTCCTGGGTGATGATGGAGCCCAGGAAACGGAAGGAATCCACAATAGTGACGGGGGAGTCGCACAGGGTGATGGGGGAGGGTGGGGCGCTGTTCCTCCGGAAATCCACAACCATCTCCACTGTCTTTAGAGCGTTGAGCTCCAGGTTGTTCTGGCTGCACCACGACACCAGATGGTCAGACTCCCACCTGTAGGCGGACTTGTCCCCACCAGAGATTAGTCCAATGAGGGTGGTGTCATCCGCAAACTTCAGGAGCTTGACGGACTGGTGGCTGGAGGTGCAGCTGTTGTTGTACAGGGAGAAGAGCAGAGGGGAAAGAACGCAGCCTTGGGGGGAACCGGTGCTGATGGTCCGAGAGGCTGAGACATGTTTCCCCAGCTTCACGTGCTGCTTCCTGTCAGACAGAAAGTCTGTGATCCACTTGCAGGTGGAGTCGGGCACGTGCAGCTGGGAGAGTTTGTCCTGCAGCAGAGACGGGATGATGGTGTTGAAAGCAGAGCTGAAGTCCACAAACAGGATCCTGGCGTAGGTTACAGTCCAGATGCTGGAGGATGTAGTGGAGGGCCATGTTGACAGCATCGTCCACAGACCTGTTGGCTCTGTAGGCAAACTGCAGGGGGTCAAGGAGGGGGTCGGTGAGGGACTTCAGGTGGGTCAGGACTAGCCGTTCAAAAGACTTCATGACTACAGAGGTCAGGGCGACGGGCCTGTAGTCATTGAGTCCTGTGATCCTGGGCTTCTTGGGGACAGGGATGATGGTGGAGGCCTTGAAGCAGGCTGGTATGTGGCATGTCTCCAGGGAGGTGTTGAAGATGTCAGTGAACACCGGAGACAGCTGGTCAGCACAATGCTTCAGGGAGTGAGGGGAAACGGAGTCCGGGCCGGCTGCCTTACGGGAATTTAGTCTTCTAAAGAGCCGGTTAACGTCTCTCTCCAGAATAGAGAGGGTCGTTGCTGGTGGGGGAGGGGAAGGTGATATAGTTGAAGAGGCGTGAGCACCTGATGGGCTGGGGGAAGG